TGCTTAACCCAATTATCTGGAACTGAGACAAAGCCCAGCTTGTGACTGCACCTGTAGAATGGCTCAAGATCGTTTTTTCTCTCGAGATAGAGCCCTATCTGACGGCCCGCTTTGTTACAATTGAGTATAGCTATCGTGCTCGTTGGAGAGAAAGTGAATGAGATTCCTGCAGCGGAACCAATCTGCTCATTGTTATCTCCGGGGATGAAAGAGAAGCCATATTTCGAGCTGCTCGGGTCTAGTATCGGCATCTCGATCTGGATGCCTCTATTTGTGAACGAATACGGTGCCACGCGATGGTCGGCATCGATCCTGGTGATGCTGCCAGACTGATCAAAACAAGAGGGGGACTTGGCGAGAAACCCAGTGTTGCGAGACGGCCTGTCTGAATGTCCAGGCAACAACCAGGCAAATATTGACTGGTCATCCGTTCGCCTCATGATCTCTTCCTGAAGTCTGATGAACGCCATTTCACCTTCGCCGTATAGTAGAGGCATGCTAACCCCGAATAACCCAAGCAGACAATACGCCTGATCTTCGACTCTGGTAGTCTTTCTCTTCGAAGCCCAGGACATTCTCTGGGCGATGCTGTACCGACCTAGGATTCCATATTCGAAGAACTTGTGGTCGATGCCGGTAATCTTCCCCAGAGGTTCTCGCATCTGGTCTCGTGTGCCGATTTCGTACCAGTCATCTGAGTAGAATATGACGGTGGAAGGTGCAATGAGCTCCTGAAGCGTCCAGCCACGCGTGAACCACCGACTATTCATGAAGCTCTTGGAGTAGCCACCGAGAACATCAACATCTTCCTGGGTGACGTCTTCAAGGTATGCATAACAGACACGAGAGTTTTGATACCAGACCCACATGGAATTGATGGCCTCCGTCAACTCAGATGAACTTGTCTTGTCGATGCAACAAGTGTCGATCCACTGCGAAGTCAGTTAATGGGAACCTTGCTATTGTTGCGGGAGCTCGGGGTCAGGGACACTGGGCTGCCAGGCTCAACTTACTATGTAGTCAAACCCATCCGACAATGCCTGATTACAAGCCCCAACCAGTTTCGTATAACCTTCAAGACTAGACGCGTTTCCGGCGAGCAGGTCCTGAAGTGTGACTTCTTCCGAGCCCCAAGTATGAGACAGGATAGCATATGGAATGCGAGAGTGGGTGAAAACGCGCAGTTCCTTCGTTCGTGTGTTCAGGAGCCGCATCGTATCTGTAAGGATTGGTTTCAAGCCAATAGGAGCCTACCGTAAATATCAACTTGGGGCGTTCTGAAGCTGAACAGGACTGACTGGTCAAACTAAATGCGGGGGAATATGCAACTAAATGAAGAACCAGATGGGTTTTCTCAATCAGGACGATAAATCTCACCTGCATAATCTATCACGTGTAACTACTGCGACAAGTAGGCTAGCTACATGCACTTATGCACGCCTTCGGTTTTTTGGTACCATCGGGAAGGCACCACAATGGTCCACTTGAAGGGCACAACTTTGTGCTGGATGGTCCGAGTTTGGATTGAACACTCAGCCGCTCAACTACCTCGATTGATTACCCTATGACATGTAGCGGAATGACGGGTGCCTGTAACCAAGTTGACTCTGTTCAGCTTCTGTCCGTCCATCCAGGCGGTGATCTCTCTTTCCAGCAGCTCTTGCTTTATTCTCATATAAGCAATAGAATATGCCGAACACCGCCAACAGAACTGTCAGACTTTGGCCCACAAGATTGATAGTGTGTCCAGTGAAGTACTTCGGGGCGTCTTTGAACGTGTAGGTCCACCTATCGTGAACGTCAGCGAAAGTGCAGGCATTGCTTGATTAGAGCCAAAGACTGGTGTGTGTTGTCATAGCCGTTTGACAGGTTCTTAGAAACATCTACTTACGTCGCAACGATTCCCCCCATGGTGCCGATTGAAACAACATAGGCACTGGTGACTGCGCGTACGGAAGGGCCTGCTGAGTCTATTATCGAGTGCGTCAGTTTTTTTCACCTTCTTTGGGTCGACCGAAGGTCATAGACTTACTGTTCATCGCCCAACTCACTGCAACGATGTTAGCAAAAGAATCAGACTGCAACGAAAGGAGTTGACTCACAAAATCCTGGACCACCTGGGAAAGCACCTGCTGTGACAAAAAATACCTGGGATCATTAGTGAATGTATGAAGGAGGCAGACAAAAGGACAGAGAGCTCTTACGCCCATATATCTGATGTTAGCCTCGGTCGCAAATCGCAAAATGGCGAAACCGATAACAGCAATCATCGAAAACACGGCAAGGTATATACCGCGTTGACGTGTTCGGTCGCTGAACCACGCGATGATGATGGCTGTGATAGCAGCCACAACATACGGCGGTACAGAGTACAGCTGCGCTCGCGTCGCAGTCCAGCCCAAGTCGGCAAGAATGGTCGGCATGAATACCGAAATTCCCTGAACAGTGATGTTGATCAGGAAAAAGCCGAAGGCGCATGTATAGTTATGGATGCAAAACACGGCTCGCTTCACGTCGGAAAGAGTGACTTTCTGATCAACATCGGCCTTGTGCTGGCGCTGCAGACGCTCTGCCGCAATTGCTCGTTGTCTTTCGTCAAGGAAGTAAGCGGTGGCGGGACTTGTGGGCATCCAGAGAGGTGCGAAGCCTCCGAAGAGCATTGTGACGAATCCCTCGAAGAAGAATATGTTCCTCCATGTATGGATAGGTACACTGTCGAACCCCCATTCCGGAATGCGAGAGAGACCAGTGGCAAGCAGGCCACCGAATGCGCCAGCTAATGACGCTGCTGAAATGAAGATTCCCAGCCGGAACAAGAGTTCTTCTCTCTTGTAGAAGCTGCTCAGAAAGAAGGAGAACCCTGGCATGGCACCGCCTTCGAAGATTCCCAGGAAGGCGCGGGCAACGATGAGTCCTTCATATGAGCGTACGAAAGCCGTGCAGAGTGAGACTAAACCAAACCCAACGACAAGGAATGGCAGGTAGAATCGTGGGCCGACGCGTTTAAGAATAATGTTGCTCGGTACTTCGACGAGAAGGTAGATGATGTAGAATATTGACAGGGCCCAGTTGAACCGGTATCCTTCAAGGTTGATATCCTTGGCCATGCCCTGGATCCTGGCATTTCCGATATTCGCTCGATCCAAAAACTACCCCGAAGATAGGCAAGTCAGTGGCGGTGCGACAGCCAGCTAATTTTTGACGGGAGGAAAAGATCACATACGCAGAGAAGGTACAAGGTCGTCACCAGTGGGACAGTGTGCCAGTCGAGCTTACGCTTGATGACCTGTTCCTCCTCTTCCGTCCACTCCAACTGTACGGGTTCGTCCGCATACTGGATAGACTCGGACTTGACATCGACCGTCGTCGGCTCGTTATACTCTGTTTTAGACATTGTCAATCGTTAAGGCCTGGCTCTGTCACGAATACTGAGAATTACTCCTGCGCCAGCAAACAGAGAGGGGTAGGGAGGGAAGCTTACGTTTCTTATCAAACTCGATTGGTATCTCGTCTATTGTGGAGAGCACCATCTTGACAGCTGGGCCGAGACGATGCTCGGAATCCTTTGAACGCGACCTTCCGAAAATACTACGTTGACGGCTGGAAAATTTGCCTAGCAGCTTGTGGATGCGACGTTGAAAACGGCCAAGCCCATTTAGTGTAGCTTCAATGAGGGGTCAAGGTAGTGACCGGCCCCTATTATTATCTATCCAAAGCCACTAAGGAGCGGGAAGCAAGTTTGAATAGCTGGCACGGACAGTTTATCACCTTCAGACTTTCTTCGGCAGATGTCTTCTGCATTAAAGCCCAGCCCTGTCCCGGGTGGCCTTCGTCCAATGACCCTGACCCAGGTGCCCGTCAAGGGTGGCACGTTCGGCCCAAGAATGCGGGGTACGGGAGGAAGAACACTTGGATTTCTTGGGATTTTAGTCTTTTCCCACAGTTCAACACAGATTGAGTCGCATTGAGGTGGGCGGCCGTGGAACTGAGGGTTGGCATTTCGCTGGGGTTTGTGCTGAATATGGTTTGGAGTCTGCCACGCCCGCCCAGTGGGACCGCTTTCCCAACCTTGGGTCTACACTAACTTCACTCGACCATCTGAATTTCGAGGCAAAAGGCCTTTCCCCACGTCGCAAGCCGGAAAGGAAATCTGGTTACCCTTTGCGAGTTGGTATGTTACCTGTTACAGTCTATGTTTTCATCAAACGCTTGGGACAGTTGATTTTCATCCGGACTCTTCGGAACCGAGTTGCTGACAACGGGTTTCACTACTTTGACGTCAAAGCCGTTACAGGATGACAGAGCACAATGATGAAGTCAGGCTATTGAAGTATGTCGTGTAACTGCAGGCTGCTTCTAGGCATGCAAGCATGAGCGCCAGAATTCCGAGAGGGGTGATTACGAATACCACCTAGATCATGGTTGCCAGCATATCCATGCCGCACTCACGCAGCTCCGATGCCACCTTCAACTCTAACTTCGATAGCGAATCAGAACCAAAGACCCCCAGGATCACCAATGATTATGTACAGACAGTGTACACTATGGCGTTCATGTGATCTCATACTTATTTGTTGCCAAGGCGAACGAGAGGCGCCCTGGGTGGTGGAATGGGGTCGTCAGATGTTTTCGCACGGCCAATAATTAGTGCTCCGCGAGGGATGCTTCGAGTGAAACGCGCCCCGAGAGAGTCAATCCTATCATCGGTTCCATAATCGGATACAGCTGCATAGTCAAAATCAACGGCTATCACTTGCATCTAAACGTAAGTTCAGCGAAGGGTCCTGAAGATGACCCATGGGCTTGTGGTCGCGTAAGGAGTTATGCCATAATCCGCCTTGCTATGCTATGACACGTCTTCACTGCGACACCCGCGTTTGCTACGTGTCTTGTATTGAGAGTTTTACAGTCACAGCGTTACTCAATTGTGCCATCTTGCAGCACATTGTTACATGCCATGTTCCAAGAGCTATCAACTATTTAGTCAAATCGCGACAATCTCACAAAGCCCGAAGAAATCCCCTTTTCCGTCTTGGCGGCTCAACTCCCGGTTGCTTGGGAATTTGCTTCTCGAAATCATACCTGTGCAAATGAAAGTGTGGAAGTTTTGTCTCCTTTCGACGTATCTCTTTTTCATCTTTCCACCTCAAAATGTAACATGCGGGGACGAACAAAATCGTGTTAACCGACACCCACGCAATCAAAACGCCAAAGTTGAGGCCAATGCGCGAGTGCAAGTCGAACAAAATCTGTCGGCTGCCTTCAATCACATGATGATAGGGCCATGCATACGCCCACCGGTAAAACCCTGGGGCAATATCGGGAGGCCAGAATCCGGTTAACGTGTTCGTGAGAGTCCAAAACGTTAACCACAAACCAACCCATCGAGGGCCGATAATCATGGCCATGTTCTCACAGGCCATTCCGAGTGCTGCCATGCCGAAGAAGTTCAACAGCCAGAAGACGATGAACGAGGCTTTCCCATAAGCGTTCGGATTCTTAGCGACCTCCACTGCCGAAGCTGGCGGATTGGATAAGGGAACTTGGAAGACAAGCGATATCAAACAGTAGACCAGCGACAAGAAGAAGTAGGCTGCCATGAGTGATAAATATCTGCGTATGACGTAGTGCCAGTAGTGCACGGGAGGATGACCCTCAGGCACAATGCATTTCTACATACCAACCTCGTTATCAGTTTTGTATCAAAGCATCAGAGGCTCGGACTTACCATGTCGTCTGCAAGGTAGTAGGTGAAACCGAGATGGGCGATGAGAAAGCTTAGCCCAAAGGTAACTGCCGGAATTGCCGCAGGCGGCCCGAACGGCCGCAGATCTAACATCAAAGGTGACACCCCGGGGTTGACGGCACTCGCGGCCTGCCGAAGAGTCTCCTTTGTCAGGGAGTCATTGGCCATTACCATGCCGCCCCATGTTTTGCCGAATGTTTCTGTCAAACTTGACGTGAAGGACGTGAGGCTTGGCAAGATGTAGCTATATGTCATAAATGAATCTCGGCCAGACATGGTGATGATTTGGATTGCGCCTGTTGGATCGTAGGAAGAGTTTCCGATCGAGACTGCCTCTTGCAATAAAGCTGTTGCGTTTGGATTTATGATGATTGCTGACCAGGCCTTGAAGTGATAGACGGCTTCGCGAACCTTCATGGGGTCGAATTCGAACTCGTTTGCATCGCGTATTTGATATCCGATTGATGGTATGGGGCCCCACAGCGTCTCGTTCGCCAATTTTGTGACCGTCGGACCTACTAAAGGCGTGATATCGTTGTAGGGAGCAGATTTGCCATCAAAATCGACAACAAAACAGACGAGAGAGGTGAGGTTTTCCTCGATGCGAAACACAATGCCCCAATAAAGGCAGAGGATGAGGAACATCGATAAACAGATGATGAAAGCTGAAGATGGTGAGCTGTGGCTGCAAGTGAGCGCGTAGAGCGCGGATGAGACTTACTGTTTCTGCACCACATCATAGAGATATGCTTTCGTAACTAAGCAAGCATAAGGTAAATTCCATTAGGCACTGTGAAGGTTTTCGAGGCTGAGCCTATGTTGGGCTGCACTTACTGCTGCCAACCCTGGGTCCCACCAGCTGACTGATTGCGATGGAAGGTTTTCGTGCTCAGGTAAGCGACTTTTCATCCAATTCCCGACAAGGTCTGCCCTTTGAGTATCGAGGCTATTCAGCACGCTGTTTGACTGGTCGTCTCGGGAGGCTTGCGCTGCGGCGCCGGGTTCTCGGTGACCGCCGTTGTCGACGTCGGTATCTATGTGCATTTCGGACGTTGCACAGTTGCGGTAGCCTGTAGGTAGATGAATGACTCTGGCTTATTCTTCGAAACTTTGAACTCAGTTACTGAACTGCATGTTTTGTACTTAAGAGCAAGGTCGCCTTCCGTCGCAAAACCTCCGGCAGTGTGTTTTTGATGGCCTATGATTGACATAGTTACCCACAGTTATGTGACCTCACCAGCACAAATTGTGGAGATCAAGAGCGGACATGTTAGTCCGGATGGATAATAATTCGTCATTTAAATGCTCTGATACATGTGTCCCATGAGTCAATGTGGGCTTTGCTCGGTCGGCCAGAACATGTAGTTTATCTAGTGGGTCATTCGGGTGATCGTCTTCTCAGCTGAAGTCCAGGCTCAGTTTAATCGGTTCTCAGTCAGGGATCAACTCGCCTTCTCAAGTAGAGTATCAATCTTGACAGTCTCTGCAGGCCATCGGACCTTTCCAACCAACAGATCAAACGCTCCACTTTGCATGCAGGAGTCACCAATAATTTGATCAATGAGCATCAGCTTGCCCTACCCATATTTCTCAAAGCGGGTTCATGATCAGTCTCATTCCCCTGCGTTAAGGCAAGCATCTTGACGTCAAAAAGATGTCAACTAGGCCAGGTGGGGTAAAGAGCCTTCAAAGAGTCTCCTCAGTAACTCTAGTCTTTCCAGGAAATCCCACAACGCGCCCAATCTGTTTGTTTGTGGCAACCGGCCGGAGAACTTCGTCCGCGACTTCGTGTGCTATAGAATCTTGAGGGTTTTGACATAGCTTGACATGTTGTAAGGCAGATCGGCTCCATCGTAGTCACTTCAACTTTGAAGTGGAGCTCGCCAAGATGCATATGAGGAAGTGGTGATTGACGAGGACGCCATTCACTACAATGGTTAAGGTAATACCAGTAGGACTGCGATAGTCTCCATTCCCGATGAAGAGAAGTCTGTCTATTGATACCTTCATCTACTTACTCGAGTAGCCCACTCGAACCATTGACTTGCTTCTTTCCAGTCCCAACCACAAGTTAGACGCTCGGCAGAAAGGGCCAGGCTGTGTATAACCTGACTTGAGTAGACCTCAAGGTTGTACAAGTGCATTTCCTATCAAGGAGATTTCTCCATTTCTCCATGTGCCAGAAAGTAGTCAGTTACCTGAATAATCAGGTATCCAATATTACTATGCGCGGTGTTTCGACCTCTGAATGATTGTTCCGTGGATTGGAGGGGTCACAACATCATACCATCCTAGTACGTTGAAACGAATGTGGGGGAAACATTACGATAAGGGACTTGATAAGTCTGGATTTAACAGCTCTCCGGGCCATTCAAATCATCTCTCTTACAAGGCAGCAACGATAGCATTGCATAGCAAGCGGTGGCTAAAATCCAAGCAAGATCTTTCGCCAATTGGTCTTCTTCTTTCCATTCTCAGTAGCAGTTGTTCCGTAACCCTCCTCTTGCACATTATGCTGCCCAACGATGGAAAGGAAGACGTCGTTCAACGTCGTGGGACTGACACTTTGATGCTCGATGCCCAAGATATCCTTGTTCTCCTCTAACATCACGACAAGTTGACCGATTGCACTCAACTGGCAGTTCTCCCCGCCCTGCATTTCTCTTCTTCTCTGATGGCTCAGCTGAGATCTTTGCAGCACATCTGATGCCGCGACTGAAAACCGCAACTGGCCGTGAAATGTTTGAGACTCCACTTGGGCTGAGGGAAATTGCTGTAGAACCCAGTCTCGCATACGATCCATCTCTTCCGATTTCGAGTGTGGAGCAGTGCGGCTGACCAGATGAACATATAGTGAGTCTCCGAAGCGGCTTTGAAGCTTCTCAACTTCACCTATGGCTAACATGCGTTGTGCGATAATGCCAGCTCGGTTAGCAAGTGCATCAGCCTCTTCCATGCTGTGGGTTGTCAAAAGTATAGAACGACCTGGCACAATTGTGCTGAGTGTTCGCCACATGATGCGCTTCGCAGCAGCATCGAGGCCTGAAGATGGCTCGTCAAGCAGTATCACCGACGGGTTCCCAGTGAGGGAGATCCCGAGGGAGAGTTTACGCTTGTTGCCCCCTGATAAGTGTTGCGCCATGACATTGGCATGGGCATCGAGGCCGACGGCACGCACAACGGCTTGAACTTGCTCCTCAACATCGCCAACTCCACGCAGCCTGGCGTAATGCCGGAGATGTTCAATAACAGTCATGGACTCGACTGCGTCGAACTGTGGACACACTCCGAGATTCGCCCTGGCTCTTGCTCTTTGGTCGGTGACGGAGACTTGCTCGACGAAAACATCGCCGCCATTACGGCTCGGTTGGATATCACCCCGGATCAGTGAGATGGTTGTCGATTTTCCGGCGCCGTTGGGACCGAGAAGCGCGAAGACTTCTCCCTGGCGAACACCGAATGAGACATTGTCAACAGCAGTGAAGCTACCGAACTTCTTCGTCAGATGTTTGACCTGAAGCCCGTCGCTGTTCGTAGTCGACTCGACCCGTAATAGCTCGCTGGCAATCTCTGGGTCTTCGCGTGCTTGTTCAGCTCCGCCGCTGAAGTAGCTGTTGCGCTTGAATATCGCAGGTAGCATGTTCCCACTGTCGTGGTAGAGAAGAATGCCAAACAGCAGTATCGTCTGCAGGACGAGGTAGAGGATTGGACCTCCATACGCCTTGGTCGCGCCTGGATATCCAAGACCGGTAGTGGAACATGCCAATGAGAAGGTATTGAGACCAATGAGAAGGGCTCGGAAGACGGATGTGACGGGAAAGAAGGCCGAGATAGTGTAATGTCCTATCAGAATGTTGCGATCTGTGACAATGGACGGCGAAAAGGTGACGATGTAGAGAAAGGCGATCAAATAGATCGCAAAACCGACACTATTGTAGGCCATTATTGCAGCAAAAGTCGCAACTTGGCTGTTGGTGAACAGCGAAACAACATAAGACAGCAGAATCGAGGCGATGCCGTACAACAAGAGCACTGGAAACAGGTAGCCAGGGGCGTACCAGATGTCTGAGGAGACGACCAATATGATAGCTGCAACCAGGAGAGGGAGAAAGAAGACCCCGAAGTCGAAGATGAGGTGCGACGTCCATGTAGATAGCGACCGCACTCCGCTGGAGTACTGCAAGCCACGAGCATGGCTGTGTCTCTCAGCGTTGGGATACAGTCCAAAGAACGACGGAATAATCGAGCAGACGATGCTGAAAAATATGGCCAACTGAACTGTGGATGAGGTCGAAGAGGGAATGACGCTGTCAAATGGGGTGTATGTGGTCGCAATGCTGATATTTGTCTTGACGATACTGAGCAGGTTCTGCATGATGACCGCTGCGAGGACTGCCCCTGTTCCCTCATTATCTGCTCGGTAGGCAACTGCTGAGAGTGTGTCTGGGCTGCCGGCCCAAAGCCCACCTGGAGTGACATTCTTACGATTGTCTTCCATGTATCGCGTAAGGTCGGCGTAGGTGGCACTTTGCGCAAGTTCGGTATTCGTGGAGCTATTGGATCCCGGAAGCAAGAAGCCAAAAAGGTCGCCAAATGATGAGCTAGAGAAAGAGGAAGAAGGACCAGCAGCGATAAGAGCTCGGTCAAAGGCCTTCCTGTAGTCATCGAAGCCTTCTGCAGAAGCTTGACTAAAGTCTGCCACATCGCAGCTAGCAGGGCTCTCGTCGGCGATAAGGAGCTGCATAATTGCTGCTGCAACGATCGGAACAAGAAACACGATGGCGTATGGAACCCAGTTAGTCTTGAGTAACGTGAAGCGTTTGCGAATCAGAGTAGGGATTTGCTCAAAGATTTCCGTCTGACGGCCAGATTGAAGCCCCAACGAGTCTTGTCCACCATTAACAATAGACTTTTCTGTGAGGCCTTTGCCAGAGTCGACTGACCCATGGGCTCTACCCTGACTAAGGGGTTGAAAACCCTCCCCTTGCACCTCATCGGCCACATTGAGGAACACATCTTCAATATTTGGACTGGAGATGCGGTAGGAAATGCTTAGATTCTCAAGGTGACGGATTACATCGGCGGCGATGCTTGATGAGGGAGCAGTGTAGATGATGGTATTTGATGCCACAGCTAATGTAGCGCCGTGTATTTCTGGAGGAGCTCTCAAATCCTTTGCATTGAGGACATGGATACGGTAGCCGTCTCCGAGAGCGTTCTTCAGGGCTACAGACGAGCCTTCGGCCTTCAGGCTGCCCTTAGATAGTATCGCAATGTTATCGGCAAGTAAGTCGGCTTCGTCGAGGAAATGCGTCGTCAGAATGATGGTCCTTTTGCCACGTTCCGAAAGAAGGATGTCCCAGATCTTCCGTCTTGAGAGCGCGTCAATGCCAGAAGACACTTCATCAATGCAACAGACGGCACTTCCACCAGTCAGCATCATGCCAAGCTGGAGTTTGCGCTTTTGTCCGCCAGACAGATGTCGTGATTGGGACTTTCGCTTTGTCAATAGGCCAATTGAGTCGATCAAGTGCTTGGAGTCCTCCTTGCTCGCAAGGCTCCACGGAGACTTGAGCTGATTAAATATCGTGATGTGTTCGGCCACGGTGAGCTCATCCCAAAGAACGTTCTTCTGGGGCACGATACCAATCCCACCAGAGGCATCTATAGAGACACCGCCAAGGTTGAACCGGCTGATCCCAGCGATGGCATCGAGAGTCGTGCTCTTTCCACTTCCATTGGCACCGAGAAGTGCTAGGATCTGGCCCCTCTTTGCCGTTAGATTAAGACGATCAATGGCCACTGTAGGAGCACGAGGATTAGATATGAAAGAGAACAGCCGTCGAAGAAAGCTCGGGCGATAGATTTTGGTCAAGCCGTCAATGACTATAGCTTCTTGTGGCCGGACACCGTCACCCTTGTAGATTTTACGACTCTCGGAGCCGACTCCATGAATTTGACGTTCAACGTAGGCGGCAAGCAGTGGGTAGAAAAGGAACTGCAGGATCAGGAAGATCCAGATTGCAATGCCTGGAAGGGTAGAATTGCTTCCTGGTGGCGTCTTGAGAAGATTCATCGGTTGTCCCTCGCCCTCAAATCGCGCCATGGATCTTACAAAGAAGACAAAGGCGCATGGGGTGAATAGCAGGCTCAAGACAGCGACGGCGACAGTGTTTGGGTTGGGGAGTGCCTGTGCCAAAACACCCATAAG